ACCTACTTGGTGTGTGAGGAGTTAGAAAATGTGAAACAAGCCTCACTCATTTAAATAGCAAAAAACATCTGAAGCTAGGATAGCCTTTTATTTATGAATGATCAGTCCATCAACTGCAGAACTGAAAAGCCGCTCTCTCTCTTAATTAGGAGAAGCACCTTTTAATCAGCCAGTACAGTGCTGACAGATGTGGTGCCTGAAAAGAGGCACAGAGGAGGAGGCCTGAATGAGTGACTGAAGCATGCTGCAATGCTTGTGGTTTCAGAGCTCTAAGAGGAAGGGTCTCTGTTGTTGTTCAGGCACTTTTATTATGTGGCTTCCCAATAGAAAGGCTTAAATTTGTCTTGTATCTCTATTGCTCAGTGGCATCACAGCCAAAGTGCTCTGCCTTCAAAGTTAGTTGTTTCAAGGCCAGGCAATGTGTGAACAAGTGCATGGGCACCGTGTTACAAAGTTCACCCAAGGTGCTGTTGGCTACATGAAATAAATACTTAAGAAGCAGATTTGACTTGGAACTGTCATGGCAAACAGATTTACATGGGTATATTCTTCCACACCCTTTCCTGAATCACATCTCAGCTGCTCTCTTGCTGCTCTGGTATGTGTGTTTTGTGGTACCAGGCACAGTGAGCACTTAATCATTTTACAAGCAGCCAAATACAAATTACTAAGCCAATTAACAAATACTTTCATTTAAAGGATTTCTGCTGCAGCTTGACTCTGTTCATCTGCACACAGGATAGAGCTCTCAGTTAAGAAAGTAATTCAACCTCTACTCAATAGTGTAAATGACACTTCAGCACAGGTTTACATGCTGTGCCCCAACTTTGGGTGCAAGTTATTCTCCTAACTAGGGCATAAACTAATGGTCCAGGAGATCTTCTCCTGGTTGTGATGCAGATATGTTCTGTGATGTTGGCTAAATTGCTCAATCTATGCTTTGAATTTAAATGAGAGTGGTGCATCTTTTTCTCTCTTCTCTATATATCCAGATGGCAAATTCTTTAAGCCTAGGTTTAATAGAGCAGGACAGACTTCACAGAAGCTAACTTTGTATATCTGAGCTGGGGAATAGCAACCCACTGCAGTCAGAGGTGACAGAGAGGATCTGCCCTCAGTTTGTTTGAACAGGCACTGGCTGGGAATCAATCTCCAGAGGATCCATCATCAACCCACTCTGTGTCTTAGAGCAACAAAACCTCATCCTTGCCTGAAACTTCAGGGCATTACTGTTTAACATGGGCATTTTCAGAAAGGCACTGATGTTTATGAAAAATAAGGTTAGTTGTAATAATAATTAGTAGTTTGAGGCATAATGTCATTTGTAGCAGAGTACTCAAGAGTGTTGGCATTTGCTCTGGAGATGGCTGAAATGCAGCCAAATCTGGGGTAAAGCAAAATCTGGGTTTAATACTGTGAAGTTGTGTGACCTTTTAGGACAGCAATTAAGAAGGCTGTCCTGTCCCTCCAAATTTAGGCACCAGCTTTTCATACAGAAGCAGGAGGATATTGGAATATCCTGGCTGCACCAGGCCATTGCTCTTCTGGCCTAGTCCAGGGGGTTCAGTTTAGGAGAAAAAGGAATTAACCAGCATTCACTTACAAGAGAAGAAGGGAGGGGAAAAAAAAAGACAGAAAAAAAAAGACCAGGAAGGTACCTCATGCATTCATGCGGAGATCTCAGTGTTCTTATATACTTCTTAATCATACTCCTTCAGCTGCTCTAAATTATAGTTCAGCAAGGTATTAAACAGACATAACTTCAAACACAAGCAGAAAAGAAGGACACAAATGGGGCAATTCTAGCTACACTAAACCATGCCTGTCATTCAGAGATCTTGCTCATTCTTGGACTGAAATTGCAGTTAAAATGCAATTCATAAAAATGGCACTGTCTGATTCAGCAGATGTTTTCCTTTGGCATTTTACTCCTGGTACAGCTTTACAGAACAAGTATGGTTAAAAGAGCATGTTATTAATTATGGATTAGTCAGTTCTAGCTGGGCAGGTCAGCTGGAGTCAGGAGGTGTCTGATAGCCTGGTTTGCCTACAGGTGTTTGTATTGCTGCTGTCAGATGTGAGAAGGATCAAACAAACAAAGAGAAACTGTCAGTGCCTGTACAGACACCAGGTGAGGCAAGCTGATAAAAAACATGGGGAAGCCCTCCTTTCTGTAAGAAAGCCCCAAGGTTAGGCTTAGAGAGCTAAGGTTAGTATAAAGCTTTTGGAATATCATTGTGCTCTTCACATTAGCATTATTATGTTCCTGCCTGGTTCAGGTCTCAGCCACCCGAGTGGCTTTGCCCAGGTGCTACACAGCAGTCACTGAGAGAACAGACTGGCTTTATTGAAATGGACACTATCCCTGTCTGCATCTGCTTTGGCTGAGTGGAATGAAAATTGTGTCCTTTGGATATGTCTCTTTCATTAAAGATATTTTGGTTGCATTTGCTCTGCAGTGCTTTCAGGGAAGAAAAAAAACTCCTAATATTAAAACTTATTACCTAGTCAAACTGTCCAGCTTTTTGCAAGCCTAGAACAAGGAGCTGAAATCTGCATTATAAGACTTCCAAAATCAATGCATTTAAATAGCATGCTTAACAACAGGAGAGAAACTTCAAGTCCCTAGTTATGAGAACTTTTTTCCTGAGGGCATTGTAAGATTGGAGGCCTTTCCCAGCAGAAGGCTTATTCCGTGATATCTCATGTCCTAGAGTTGCATTAATATTTTGGTGTGAGTAGTTATGTGGTGTTCCAAGGGAGTGGTCAGATCTGTCACTGGATGAAAATTTAGCTTCATTTTGAAATTTTAGCTGTGTGTAGCTGTACTGCTTCTGGTCTGCTGCATACACCTTTATTTAAGTCTGGTGCTAAAGAGTTAACAATTTTTGGGGGGAAAGTATGCAGCCCTTTGAGACAGAATAGGGTTTCAGACTGTACAAAAGAACTGCTGGATCTTCAGTGACAGAACTAGGAGAAAGGATGGAGATTTCCTCTGTGTCTGTATACTTCTCTGTGTACTTACAGCAGGTATAATAATCACTGATACATTTTCTTCAGACACTGCTATTGGGTCTCATTCCTCTCTGAGTAACAAGTTCCAGTGCAGAATACAATGGTGCAAGTCAACAGCAAGTCAGAGCTATATCAGCTGAAGATTTGGTATCAGGAGTTCAACATCCCAAGTTCCCCATCATCCTTGTCCCCATCCTTCTTTATTAACAGTCAGCAGCGTTTGAGAGATCTTGATTTATTTATAGAACTGAGACAAGTACAATTCCATGCTTATGGCTTAGATGGTACACAAGTGATACATAACAGGAGAAGGAAAAATTGCCCAAGCCTGTTGCAGTCATGGTGACCCAAATATGAATCTCTCACTAGAGAAGTTTGAATTACTTTTTTTGCCTGGTCAGGCTGTGCTGCTGTACTGACCCTACAGAAGGCCCTTCAGAAGAGTCCTTAGGACCGTTTCTTCACTATAGGATCTTTCCTCTCTGGTAACTGGCCTAGGACTGGAACTTGCATTTTCACTAGGTGGGGGAATGTCTGTATACTCGCATTTCTAGAGCAGATGAACCTATATCATCAAAGCTGCACTTTCTACCACTTAAACAGAGCTACTTCCAGAAGTATGGTTCAATTCACCATGTATGACATAAATGTGTGTTCTCTGGAAGATTGTGGTGGTGTTGGAAAAGGATTACAGCTCTTTAGACCTTGTGACAGATGGTATGCAAAAATATGAAGTTAGATGTGGCCAAAAGCCTCAAACACACAATCCAGTCCGTATGGCTTAATACATCAGCTGATTCCTGGTGACTGCATTGTCTTAGCAAGCAAAAATGTGAGATAAGTCATGTTAACTAAGCCTTATCTGTAGATGTTTATGCAAATATGTGTTGCCTCCTATTTGTGATGGAATATGAACATTTAGAAGGGTGACAGGAGCTCAGCTGATATGTGGTACCTCATGCTACAGTGACTTCTGTCAGAAATTCCCTTGCTTTGCCCGTGAAGAGACAATGACAGGAGGATTGGGAATATCTGCAGTCACTGCCTTGATTTCCCTGTTGATTTTCTGTGCAGAGAGATTCCACTGAGAAGTATCTGCTCTCTTCTCTTCCACGAAGTCCTGAATGGGAATTCCCACAACAACAGGCTTGGGGGAGCGTAGTAGGAAGTCAGCTCTGCTCCAGCTGGCTTCTGTCCAATCCCAGTTTTCTCAGAATTCAGTGAAATACATGACTGCAGCCCATACGGACCTCAACTAAAGCCTGCTGAGAGTTTGCAAATGGCCCTTTGTGGCTGGGATTTCACTGTGGTTCTTCAGTATGGATTCTGGAATATTTAATGCTAGGACCTGCTCAGAACTTTGTTACCAGGTTCACTAAGATACTGATAAACAAGTCAGTGAACAAGCATATAACTGCTTTTGTATTCTGTGGAGAGGAGTCCAGGAAAACCTTTTGTTTGTAGACATGAATGACCAAAAACTCTTACTTGCTTTAATTATTTTCCCTTCCTTCCTTGGTAGCCTAATAGTTTGTAATTTTTCTGCTTGTTCATGCAGGAACTACCTCTTCAGACTTAGTCTACACAACGTTTCTCTTATTCAGGTATGGTCACTTTTTATTCTCTTATTTTATTTGACTTGTTAATGAAAGTTCTGTAATATTTGATGTACATTTTCAGAAGCCTATATAGTGTAAATTTGCCCAAAGTGGTGCATCAGAACCAAATGCTTGTTCCCACTCCAGTGATGATGCTGGGGAAAGGGTTCTGCTACACTTGCCCACTTGGATGGTGCTGTCTGGTTTTGATTCTCAAGTATTTGGGTGGTAATGGCGTCTGCCAAAAATTTGGCATCTTAAGGAAGAAAGCATGTAGTGTGACTGATACAGGCTTAAACAAAACAATCAGTAGAAATCCTTGGCTTTCTTTAGAGATGTCAGTAACATGCTGGAGAAGGTTTTACTCTTCTCATCCATCTTCATTTTAGCCCTTGCAGGCCTTTGTGAACATGGATTGTTGAGGAGCTCTGTGTTGCTAAATGCATTACTAAAACCATGATTGGACTTGCAAGCATTCAAGAGGCAAAAGGGGTTGAAAAATGTGTTACCATTGCCTTTACCAAGAAAGAGCAGCTGAAGTTTGAAAGCACTTGAAAATATCCAGCATTATTAGGACTTTACTGTCACTGCACTGAATCTGGAATTGAAGGATGCAGCAAAAATTGTTAATGAAAACACCAGCTGCTTATCTTTAAATAAATTAACACTTATGCTCTGGTATACTTACCATCTTCTATAGTTGCTGGATCACCAAAGAAGCATTCAGCATTTTTTCAGACAGGCTGAGAGGCCTTGCTCCTGTACCTGACCACACAAAGAAGCCATTAGAGTAGTATTGCCAGCCTTTCTGATGTGCACAAGCCTTTTGCTGTTAGTAAGAGTTACAAGTATAGCTGGAGAGAAGAAAAGATGTTTAATGGTTGTAAAATGCATTGAATCTTTCTTTAAAAGGAAAACAAAGTACAGAGTTACCAATGACAACAATAAAGAGTTAGAGAAGCTGCTATTCCCATTTGGCAGTGCCTTCCCTTTTGCAGAGCTGCATTAGCATGGCTGGAAGGTTTCCAGTGAGCACACAGGAGAGGGAAGTTCGTAGTCATGAGAGGTGTCATACCTTCTGCAACGCCTGTTATCACACTGCCTGACGCAGCCTCTGCTGCTTGTCAGGGATCCCCTTCCACAAAACCCAATTGTGAATCTCCCTCACACACTTCTGAAGCCAGGCTTGGCCCTCTTCAGTGCACTGAGTTTCCTTTTCTACGCTGCAAACATGGGAAGTCTCCTTCTATGGCACTGGAGGCTGCTGTGGGATCTCCGGTTAACATAATGAGCTTAGTCCGCTCCTGCTCTCTGGGTGTATCCGGTTACTTTGCCAAGACTTTTTGCATGACAAAGAGAGCATGGAATTATGTTGACACACGTGTTGGGAATGATGGAAGTGATTGTTTCCCAACCTAATGGTTGCCTAAGTAGCTGCTTGGCTTGACTCCATAAAGCTCATGATGCTTTTTAAAGGCACCACCTTCCCTCTACCATGCATCATTTTAAAGGTCAGATCTGAAAGTGAGACAAGAAATGCAAGGAACTTGCATTTAGTTCTATAGGGGTGAGAGTGCACTTCAAGAAATAATCACAGTGTCAGTTTGCATGTTGTATCTCTTTGTGTGTAAATAAAATACAGTGTGGATTTCTGGACCTGAATTGGGATAGTTTTTCATCTTGAGATTGTATTCTGATTTATTTCTGTTCATGAAACCTCATTGTCATCCTGCCAGTGGTGCTAAATCTGCCTCACGGTGCAGGTTTGTGCTGACAGGTATCTGCTTCCTTGCATTTGTACTTCCACAAAGTGAGGGCAGAAACATGAGGAGTGTGGTCTATGGAGAGAGACATCAGGATATGCTGGCTGTGGCACAAAGCCTGGCAGTGAGAGAAATGTACCCCTCTAAGCATGGTTTGATGAAGTATAAAGCTGTTTTTCCCAAGTGTTCTTGTGCTGTTTCCTGAGGCTGCACAGTTCCTGTGGGAAAGAGGCATGCCACGTGGTTTAGACAGGAAGTTACTGTCTTAGAATTGCAGTAAACTAAAAGACAAAATTTAGTATTAACTAGCAAGTTGTTGATTAAGCATTGTGTAAAAAAGACAGCATTACCCTATAGAAGGATTTTGATTTCAGGGGAGTGAAAGAAGAGAGGTCAATTTTGGGATGTGTCAGCCCTTTATAATAAAGGGTCAATTCTCGTTCTTTCTTATCTCTCATCTGCTCTACCACGTGTTGATGTTTCCTCCTCATTTAGAATTTTCATTTGGTTCTGCTGAGATTGTTTCTCCAAGGCACTAATCTTTTACATGAGAACTAGAAGATGGAGTGGAGGAAAAAACTGAAACAGAACAAGCTCATTTCCTGCTCCACAGAACCAAATGTCCCAGCTTTTCAGAGATTTTTCCTCCTCCTCTCTTTGTTTCCGATATGTATTCCAGAAATTTCATTTGGAGCCCTTGAAGCTTTTCACCAAATGAGTTTTAGTTGCATGAGAACTTCTGTGGTGGTTAATACTTTTGTGAAAAGCATTTCTGGCTGATCTTCTTCTTCTTCTTTATATCCATAAGGAAGTGATGGCTCAGGTATTTTGGGGATAATTTGTGATTTTGTCTACCTCTTTTACTTGCCAAAATTGAAGCACCTTGTTAAAGAATTACTGAAAATCAGCATCTTGAGGTGGGGTATCCAAAAGCACCTGTTAATATTGGAAACTTTGGCATGTAGCATTCAAATTCTTGCAGCAGTCAAAAAGCACCATTTAAAAATGGGTACTCTTACCATAATTTTTAGCATCTCTTTTAAACAAAATCTGTTTCATGTCTGTCTTTAAAGATTGTCTTATATGTATTGTAAACTCTTGTTACTAGACATTTAATAGAACATTTCTTTTAAATGATGTGCACCTGGAGAGCATGCTGGTTAATTTATGGATGGATCTGAAACAAGGCTAGCTCCTAATCTGCAGTTTTCATGGTGAGGCCATAGAAAAGCCAGTTTTATACTGGAGTTGGTAATTAATAGAGTAGGTGGAAGAGTCATTTTAAAAACATAAGCCTTTAAGCAAAATTTTTAAAATTCATAGTACTGATTGGGATTTCTTAGCAAGGAATGCTATTCTGGTGTGTGTGTTAAAAGCAGGCTATTTGGCTGGCCTTTCATAAATCACAGTACAGTGCCTACCCCCTGCTCACTGTGATTTTACCTGGATTCTTAGTTCTCAATTAAACTGAGTAGGAAATTGTTTTTGCAACTTTTTTGACATACAAAGACTTCCAATCTTTTTGCACTTAGATGAAAACATGCCTCTGACATTTTTCTAAAATCTGAAGGAGAATGAGATAGACATGTGGTTAATTGGCATGCAAATACTCTGGGTCAAGTTATTATCTGAAGCATCAAAAGAGAACATTTACATGTGCATTTCTCTCATCTCAAACAATTGTTCTTGTTTGTTTGGGGCGTCCTTTTGCCCCTTCCCCTTTCCCTTCCTCTTTCCCTTTCCTTTTCATTTTCATTTTCCTTCCTCTTCTTTTCCTTTCTTTTTCCCTTCTTTATGGATCTAAGATGTCCTTCTGCACTCTCATCTGGTAAGTGTAATAGAAAATGTTGTAATTTCATCAAATATTTTGGCTTCAATTGTTTCTTTTAATGGAAGATCTCTTATAAAAAAGTTTTGAAGCAGCCCTGTGAAGTCTGAATGCTGGTATGTCAGGCCAGTAGTGTTTCAAGTATTTAAAATCCTTCAAGAGTTTGTACTGTATTTTAACAGACTGTAAAAGAATAAATAAGTGCACCTATTGCAAAACTATTTGGAAGACATAAACTATTTCACCTAAGAAAGACAAAAAAATTGTGAGTTCCCCAGTAGTCATAAACCTGCATTAGGAAGGATTGCCTGTGGAGTTCCACACTATCCAGTACCACCAAGGTTTACAATTACAGATCTACTGGTACCCCACTGCAAAACACACAAAAATGCTACAGAACACACAACTTCATTTGCTTCTGAAATTTGGCTTCACATTTCTGAATAAGATCCCCTATATTCACAGGGGCATTTTGGATAGTGCTACCCAGTCACTAGGGCAAAACCTGAGGTACTTATCAGTCCCACTGAAGCATAAGACCTAAAACCAAGCTTAAAGCAATGTATCAATATACTGGGGCAGTATCAGCTCTTAAATCATGATCTGAACCTTACTGAAATAAATTTCTTTCTACTGATATTGTTGGGGTTTTGGAATAAGCATTTTTCAAACCTGAAATAGAGACAAAACATTTCCATAATGTCCTGTGACAAACAAACTGCAGACACCTACCCAGTGCATTACTGATAAGGATGTTTTTAGTTCAGTTTTTCTTCCCTCATTTTAAAAAGCAGCAACATCCCTGCTACAGAGATGAAGCTCTTAAACTGCACAGCTGCTCCTGAAGACACACTTCCCTCCCTGCTACTCCCTGAAGGGATCTTTAGCTCTGTGGCATAATCACTGGTAAATCAACAGCATGTATCAACAAACTGTAGTTAATAATAATAAAACTTGCCTATCAATCCTCAATATGTCACATAGCAACAAACGGAACAGGTTTTGTCTTTTGCACTTTGAATCAAACCAAGCATTAAATGCATTATTTTCTACTTATTTAGGGCTCAGTAGTGCCACACTTATGTCTGCTGATGAGAAACATGCTCTGTAAGTGTATAGAAGTGTGAGGAGAGGTGGCAGAGTTTAACTTGGTTTCTCTCTATAGTTGAATAAAATATGATAAACAAAATCAACAGGGAACAGTGAGTAATGTAGTTTACAGCACAAGTTGTCACTCAAGTAATCTTTCCTAGTGAAAATACTTCACTGAGAAATATTAAGGATTCACAATATGTTCATAAAGCCCTGGCACTTATCAGAAAACTTGCAAATGTTAGAAAAATCTTCCATCCACAAGAGGTGCTGGATAGGCACCAGATCGGGCTTGGAGGGCCAAATTTGTGATGCTGGCTCTGCCCAAGGATGCCTGAGGTAAAGTTAACCTGCCCAGGTTGTCTGCCTGGTGTTTAACATGTGCCATAGGGCTGCAGCACTCCTCTATAAAGTGCTGTGGGGGTTCCCAGTAGAAGAGAGGTACAAGTACTGTATTTCACATCTCCTTGCAGAAACATCCTTGAGCCAGAGCTGTTCCTATTTTTCAAAATATCTTTTCAAAGATCAGGAGAAAATTAGGCATTGACATTGCAGCACAAGCCCAGGGCTGGGCTGGCCCAGCTTTGCTGAAGGTATTTATTTCTCCAATCTAGTTGGAATGTGAGATTATAGTCCAATTTAACATCCAGTTTGAGAAGTAATTTTGGGAAAGAGTAAGAATACTTTGCCTATCTTTATGTACCATTGAGTTGCCTGACAGGAGCTCTATTTTGAAATGTTCAGGAATAAGCTTCACTTTTCAGAAGCAGTTTATTGTTTGTTTCTTGCAGATTCCCAGATCTGTGTTTGAATTATGTGGCACATATTTCTAGATACAAAGTTTATTTCTTTATTTTCAGGCCAGTGCAGTTCCCTCATTTAAAAACATAATCAAAAGACCTCTACTAGAGCAGATGCAGTCTTTAATATGTGGCTCATAGCTGAGTCCTGGTTGTCACATATTTTATCAGTATGAAACATTTTTTATTAACAGATTAACATATAAATCTATTCATAAATCACCTTCCAAAGCTGCACCTAAAACCTCTCACTCTCAGCCTAGAGGTTTAAAGCTATTCCATAATAAAGCTTATATTGGCTGGAAAAACTTTCTGGTAAATTCAGCTATTTATTCTTATGGTTTAGGGTCCCCAAATAAAATCTACTCCCTGAATATTCCTTTCCTTAAAATGACTGGTCAGGAGGTAGATTGCAGCTTTCAGGTGCAAGTCATCCTTCCCAAGATTTATGTAAGAGAGAAATTTCTACGTGGAGTGAGAGATGAGGGACAAAAATAATGCATGTCAAACTGAAGGTGACAGTGTCTGAAGGCCACACCTCATCCTTCAAGGACACACTTCTCCAGCTCCTCACTGCAGGGAGCTCTACTCTGTGATGGGCTGCAGCATCTGCTCTTGGGAACCAAAGTTCTGCTGATGTTACTCATCAGCTGAAATTCAGAGAGCAGAGAAAGCAAATCTCTTCTCACAGTCCATAGTGTTGAGTGATTTCTGAACACAATATCCCCTCTGTCTAAGAGAACCCAGCTCATGAGTCCATTTA